AGACTGCCAAGGATACAGGTCAAGGGTCAAGGGCCACGAGCATTATGGGAATGTACTCATAGGGCCACGATATTTCAACAAATATGGGAACATCCTTGTTATGCTTTACATGCACAACATGCCAGACCCTAATAAGACACAATATATATAGGGATTTTTCAACAAGGCAGAATTGAAAACTTTTCAAAGTTTCCACCCAAAGACTTTTTGTTCAAGACTTGATGTTGATGTACCACGGGGTACTTCTTTTAGCAACTTTTATCGCTGTTATTCTTTAGGCCACACCAATTGATTTTGTTGTTTCTTGGATCATTGTAGAATAATGTGAAGCAACAGGGCAAATAAAACAGGCCTAGGTATCCTACAATGTGTATAATGGCTCCAAATGATACAATAGGAGCTGTGAAGTCAACATACCAGGCTCGTTTAATTCAAATAATGAATTTTAATCACACCACTGCAATGACGGACGAAAGAAAATGAAACAACTTGGAAGACAAGAAATTTCTTCAACTGTTAGCGCCATAATATAATTAATGTGACTATTTTTAAATTTATTCAGAAACTGAATTTTTCATTTTTTATTTTATTTTTATTTTGCAAACCAGACGAAATTGGACAAGAAACAATTGATTAATTTGATGTGGACTTACTAAATAAAAAATCACCAACCAGTGCATAAAATACTCCAATTCATGTGACACTGTGTCAAAGTTGCACTTCCTGTAGAATCTTGAGCGCATCTGGCAACTATCAGTTTACATGTCACACAGAAAAAGAATAGCCAATTGTTCAATAACTTTACCACTAAGAGATGGTAAGTTCCTATGCATGAATGACATCCATTGAGAACTGCTTTTAATAACCATATTGCACACACAGACTACTCAATAACATTGATCCATTTCTGTCAGTGTTACTGATATATTCTGAAACAGGATATGATAATGAAAAATGTCTTTTCAAAGATGTAGATGCAAGATATTGCAAGTACAATTATACAAAAAAGGACTCTAAATGTCTAGCTTAATATCAAAGAGCTAGCAAAAAAAATCTTAAAGTGACATCATATTTTGGCTTCCCTGATAACATGCCTGTACATGTTTGGACTTTTTCATATAGTCAACCCTAAATACAGGATATTGCTTTTTTTGGAATTTTAGCCAGTCACATACATGTAGCATGATGAAATGTTTGAAAATATTATGACATTAGCTGACTGCTGCCCACCCATGTCAGGGACCTCTGCAGTACATGTAATATTGTCAAAGTCCAGAATACTACATATACAAAGTTCGAAAACTTTATGAATTGCTTGGAAACTTTTTCTCTCATATTGTATTGTATCTACATTGTTCTTCCTATCCTACTTCCATCCCAACACAGCTAATGTGGATGATTTTGGGAAACAAAATTGATCTACTATAATGAAGATATGATGTATACTATGATGTGTGTAGATGCACAGGATAAGGGTATAAGAAATACCCTTTGTATTTGGAATTGCAGCAGACTTGCATTTGATGTTCAGGCCCAACAGTACATGAAAGTCAGCCAAGGAGAGGCTTACCATGCAGGGAGATTGAATTGTGCGCACTACACCAGCAACACTGTCAAATTACAGCCCTAAATCAAATTTATTTCACCTCCTACAAGACATAATATAGCCGTTAGAAATCACTTTCGAATCTACTACGCACTGTATGCCACGTCTTAACGACTGTTAATGCGAGAGTAGCCGGCTTCTTGGTAACTACTGGTGTACGTTCAAACAAGTTCCTCTTTCAAGCCAGTAGTTTAGTTGGACAAAGCCAAACCAGCTGTACTGTAAGTCTAATTAAACTGGGCCATCTTCCGTTACAGCGTATTGTGCTTCGGGGAGGGGAGTTGGTCGTTCAGACAGATCACTGCACCAGACAGGACGTGACCAGATTTCACAAGCAACAGGATCCCAGCCAAACCCTCCTATTGTCTTCCACACCTCCTGATGATTTCCGAAACGACTCAGAGTTACGAAACAGTTTTGAATACAGGTATACACGCTGGTGCACCCATGAATTATAGTTTTTCAATGGGAACTTGCAACAGTTGTTTTGCTTTTGTCTATGAATCATGCAATAAAGCAAAGTAAACCATTAATCCATATCTCATGATTTAAATTTGTCTAATTATGACTCTTGAGTAGTTGAGTTAATGATCATACAGTTGTTCACTTTTTCCATCTGTACAGAGGGAATACACTGTGTAAGTTTAACTTTCTTCCATGTATTAACTAACATTCTGTGAGGGATTATGTTTTCTATGGATAGATTTTTGCATAAAACACTGCTACAATGATGTGCAATACAATAACATAGAAGAGACATACTATACATCTTTTTAAGAAATTAAACAGAAACACTAACAAAACAACCTTTTAAGTTTAAAAACTTTTAAGATAAAAAAATCCTCAATATGCCCAACTTTTGCCTCATAGAATATGTTTACATTCTACATCATGCTTATGAATTAATCTTTCAAATCTTTTAGAATATGAAATATGATATTATAATACACTCATAATTTCATCTGACAATAATAAATTTGAAGCAGCTGTTTAATTTGACTTAAAGAGTTGTTGACTTGATCAGAATGTGTACAACTTGAGTCTAGCATCTATGTAATGTTTGGAAGGTATTATAAATCCTTCATATTGTCCAACACAAATGTTTCTGGAATACCTATTGACCAAGAACTATTCTTGGAGTTGATCCAGCAGGGTCTTAGGTTTCATGCTGAACCTAAAACAAGATGTGATGTGGCAGAACACATGTTTAACCTTGCAAAACCTACCAATATTTGAAAGTGATGTCTAGTAGACCAAATAAGCCTTTAATTTGCAATGATCTCTTTGCCATTTGTAAAGAAGATTACTGCTGGTATATTTGGCTTTCTCACATTTCCACATCAAAGAGCATTACTTTGATGTCTTGGAACTTACCAAAAAAATATCTTGTTTCATGTTCTTTCTCAACCCTTACATGTACATATTTTGTCAACCCTGGTCTTTACTTTGACTTTGTACTAGTTTTTTTTTATATTCCCTTCCATCAAAACTACCTGTAAAGGTAAGGGTGATACCACAGATGGGATGGAAGGCCTGTTTCAAAGCTTTGTGGGGTACTTATATGTGGCTGAGCCTAAGTGCAAATATGCCACGCTGGGTTTTATATATACTGAGCCTTGTCTCTGGATGCAGGGCAAGAACCCACAGTGCCCTCTCGGCCTGACCAAGGTTAACACGGCTATATTAGTACATGGACTTACTGGTGTTTATCCAGTCCTATATTTATACCTTATCCCTACAAGTATGTCCCGACTGTCTGGTACTAAAAATAAAGGGGACAAATGGGACTCCGGACTTTGAGGGCCAACGTAAAAGATTTAACCTTTCCAATGCCACAGTCTGATTAGGATGCCTGATTGTAATTGGTCTTGACATGTGGAAGGTTAAACAAGCTGCAGACATAACAGTTGATGCATAATTAGGTTTGTTTTGAATACTAAATAAGACCAAATAAGCATATGTCAGAAGTAAAGTTTTCTTAAACTAAACTTTGCCTTTCTTAAAATTCAATCAAAAGACCGATTATCAAAATAAATTGATAAACCTGGGTACTAATTTCTGACATTTGCACATTGGACATTATTAGCACTTAATCTGAAAAATATCCAAGATATGGAAAATTTAACCAGACTGCTCTTACAAAATGTATCTAATTGTGTAGGAGTAGGCACAATTATTATGTCTGCCACTGGTGTTGAAAGCACCATTCCTGATATATTTTATATACAGACACAGTCACAGTCAATGTCATTATAATTTCATATTATGATTATATCATTGTATTGTGTACTAGTATTATTTGTAAATGCAAAATAAAATATTTTTTCTTGTTTTTGAAAGTTTTTTTCACAAAACTCTTCCCCACATACACATGCCACATAGTACAGTGGGGGTCATGACCATGTGCCCTTCGGACGTTCTTCGGAAAATTAACAGCTTTCAAGTGTTAGCATTTGCAAACAATGGCAGAGGAGCAAAGGGCTAACCAACACATAGTGCTGGATCAGTGACAAATTTCCAGTCCAGAACTATCTTTCAGTCATCTTTTTATTGTTTCAGGAAAACCCAGAAGTAAGAAGACCTATAAAATCCACCTGTTGACGTTAGGTTACAATTAAAAAATTAGAAAAATTTTAGTGAGAGAAAAGAAGGCAAATAATAAAGAACTTGATTAAGTGAAGTAGAACAAAAAAAATCCACTGAGAGGTTGTTTTTACATTGTTGTTTTTTCTGCAAAAAATCCGAGAACCAACAAATTAACTTAGTGTGGCATAAAGCGTGGCAGCGTGTGGTGTAAAGGACATCTAACAGGGCTTATAGAGACACTGCAAATAGGGTGTGACGCAGGAGGATATGGTGTGACATAACGTGGATGTTCTCTGACACACCTTTCCGCTCGTATATTACTCTTATCCAAACACCTGCACAATCCTTTGGTACATGCAGCTTTGTCAATGATTTATGCTCACTGATGTTTTCAACATTGTAGAAATGAAAAACCATTAATGAATGTGTTTGGAAAAGGTTTTGGTGTTGACAATATCAACTTCTGTTTTGTTCAGACATTTGAGACTTCAAAAGCTGTCCGACAACTTAAAATGAATTCAGGCACAAAGAGTCTCAAAGATCCCATTGTTTAGTTAGAATGATAGTCCATTTACCTGCTCTACAATGTCCTTAATCAAAGAGGTAAATAATTTGTACCCATTTTTAAGTAATGGATTTTTGTTGTGAAACTGAAAGCCCTATTTTTGAAACAAATGAAATGAAAAATGAAATGACTAAAAACAATGTAAAACAAGTTTCTCTAAAAAATGTTTAAGCTTTCTATGCACATTGTTACATTGTGCATTTGAAAAACATTATATGCCCTCTGAAAAGCACCTCTGACATCTGACGTTTGAAAAATTGGCACATGTAAAATGCCAGCACCATAATCTATGGCCCCAAAATGATTTTATCATCTGTTTATTAGCAACAGAAGTTCAGTGGTTGTGGATGTCCCCTTTCACTTTCTATACAGAATTTTTATAGGTTTTGAACTTGTATACATCATCGATAATGCAAGACATCCAGTTTCAAAACTTTTCCCAACAGATTAACAAGTTCAAAGCAAACTTTACAGAAAGCACTTTATGGAAAGTCTGGAACGCTTTTTGAAGGTCACTGAGGCGTACGCAAGGTCATATCTGCAGTGGACGATGGAGTTCACAGTAAAAGCACGCTTCATTCCAACCATTCTCCCATGATCTACACTGCCACCTCGTAAAGTAGCGATTCTTAATCCCCCACCCTGACAGAATACTAATTGTTTTCCCAACAAGACGTGTTTTTACGTTTCACGTCCGGAGATGTAATAGCGATAGCCATTATCTGCCCGCCTTTTAGTCGCAACTTGTCCAACTTTTCACAGTAAAAGCGACAGTAACGCACTACATCCGATGATCGCACTAGCAATAACGACACCCTGGAAACCGTACATCACAAGGTAGACTTGCCAGCTCCTGGAATACCAAGTAGGCTTTGATAGATCTGTGGATGATGTGTACACCCTGGCAGGCAAGTGGGGCATGTAATTGTCGGCAATACAGGATGTTGTCTTGGGTATGCGCTGAAAACAGTCAAGCCCCACCACCAAACGCCACGTGCTAATCCAGCTCTAAATTCAATTTTCTCTGGGCGGCAATGGTTCATAAACATCGGTTTCAGACATGAATTTTCCTTCTTAGAACATCCCCGGGGGAATGCTCACTTTATTGGTCTCATCCTGCTACTTTTGGCGTGTAAGGTAATGGTAGGATTGAAAATTGGGGATTTCCATCACACGGGGCAATCTATTATCACAACCCCCCGACTGCTCATAAAGTCACAAAAAGTATGGGGCACGGTTTGTTTGGTGCATAGCAAATGTGGCGTTTCTCCTTTGTGACCAGATTGTGAGCACGGAGCCCCATTTGGACCAGGCCCGGTACTGGGGTGATGAATGGAGACTGTTGCAGACTTTGAGAGCTGGCACCCTCCCTCCCTCTCTCAATAACACTCACCCAGTCACGTAACAAAGGTCAGTGCCTGTCTGACAACGGTCTCGAAATTATTCTATCTCTCATGTATGTCGCAATGTAGGGTAAAATACTGGCGACTAATTTCCGTCAAGTAGCAGCCAGATGGATGTTGACTTTTGAAAGTTATTGCTGGGCTAAAGCACCAATAAAACTTATTCTTGGAATCGGCGGCATGCCTCTCTAAAGTTGAACTTGACCTAGAGTTGTCACTAGGTAGTATTGCGCAGTGCTGTTGTTGAAAACAATCATGGCAACTGATAGCATACATCAATGGAAGAAAGTAGTTGAGAGTTACTCACTTTTAAAGAGTCGAAGCAGGCGACGACGCGTCCGTTGTCAACTTGTACCTGCTTGCCCGGGTGCGCAAAGCGGCATTCTGTGTCCGGTCTGGTGCATGTTCCCCTCTGAAACTCGCGGCAGACTTCTAACGTCAGCCACCGATTATCTCTGACGGCCATTATATTGGGCTCCAGGACTTCCCTACCGGCCTGCATAAATATGGATATTTCACTGAAAACTACGGGCTGGAGATAGTCTTACTTTGGTTGCAGGTCTGTGGACACGTCAGCCCCCAGCACGCACCGGAAAGTCAAATATCACTTGACTCTACAGCCAGCAATTTTCCCGTCAGTCATTCAAGGGTCCAAGTTCAGGAGGGAGAGACGTGATGCTGTTTGCACTTGAATTTGCAGCTTGGCAAAGGTGACGTTTGGCCAAAGAAATTCTGGTGCAGTATTCTCTGAATGCCAATGAGCGCTTGGCGTGGTTGATCAGCTCAATATCGTATTACAGGCATGTAAAGAGGGCTGTCTTGGATAGGGCTGAAGCAGTGGAAGCAGCAGGGCTGGAACTGTTGTCGTTGGTCTGGTCACTCTCTTGTCATGGCGCGGTCATCAATCTTAGTTGTGTAGCATTTGGCCGGGAAGCACAGGCAGCACCTTATGACCTGGGGAAACGACAAAATGCAACAACATGGAACTCAAGTTCGTGGAACAGCTGCCACATTCGTTCTTCACTCTCAGTCCACCCATTCACTTAATATATGTCCCCCTTGCTATGTCTACTGCCTTTTCTTACCCCCACCCAAAAGGCTTGAGCCCTATGCTGCCCTTGAACTGCAAATGTCCATTATCCCGTCAAGTCTTGCAAGTCTTACATTATCTAACAGCTTATGGCACCTAAAATAGTATCAAATGTACCATACTGACTAAAATGACACATTAGCACAGTTGCACAAGACTTTTATAAGTCCAAATAGTAAGCCTACACATATGGTAGCTAATAGTTGTAACATATGTCATATCAAACGTACTGTTGCTGCATCCGCTCAACATTTGGCAAACACCAAAATATGGGACCCAAGCAATTGATACTAAAGATATATAAATAAATCTTCAATACACAGCATTATCAAAGAGTATTGCAGACACCATGCTGCCAATAGTGCATTATAAATATTGTATGCCGTCATCTTTAGCCTTGCTCTATAACACTTGATCTACCATTATTCCGGCTTCTTTAGCAACTATCAGCAGATGCTGTTTTGGGACAGTTTCCAACACAGATGCAGCTAATTTCTCTGATACAAAACATGCCATTCACATCTCATCTACTCAAACAACAGTTGTTTTTTAAGGCAGAATTGCCGTTTCAACAGTTATTGAAACTACAATGACTTGCAACTGCATAGTTTTTGAAGATACCAATTATAGAGTTGACAACAGAACTTCTGCCATATCATTGTCATTGAAGCCTTTCATACTTAGCAGCTGTTTCATTGTCTGACAATATATGACCTAAATAGTGGATACTAGACAAAACTCAAGTGTGCAGGCTCTGGTGGTGGTTTGGGACTGCCCTGGTAAGGTCAGGGACACAGTGCCCCACTGAATGGGACAAACACTAGTCTACTACCACAGTCTATAGTATCGTCTGGTATGATAACATTCTGTTCTAAGCAAGAATATCTCTCAGTAAACCCTTTTGACATACATTGTAGAAGCTATCATACATAAATGTGAAGTTCAAGTTTGGACCTTTTGAAAGTTGATGAAACACTTAGCTCATGATCATATGATATTGATTTCTGTTATAACAGTAACAGGAGACAATGTGCACGAAGTCAAGATAAGTTGGTTCAATGATGTCATTTGTGAACATTTATGATATATAGGACAAAGGTCCTAGGCATGTGATTCCATATTTAAAGATTACTTGGTACAAAGTTGATGGTTTAACATCTGAGGCAAATAAAGTAGTACAAAATGTACATTTTGCAGTAAATAACTTCACAGAACCTTTCCTACAATGATTTTTTGGGGCACAACAGAGTGAAATACCCTATTGTACTGATAATAATCTACCTCTACTTTACTAATTGATAGTGATCTACCTCTACTTACATTGTCATAGCTTTCTGGGCCTAATAATGACTAGGAATAGAACATATAATGATAACAAGCAGGAAAGACTATACTGTAAGACCGTTTGTTGCATCAGGAAATTGATGTACAGCAAGTTGCAATAACATATTTTCGGTGTTGTCTTTGAACGTTTACCAAATGTTGCAGTGCAGCATTCTTCCTGCAGTTGAAAACAACTGTGGGCACACCCTTATAATCAGTTATGCACCCTCCCCAACGTTATGGAACTGAGCAAAGCATTTTGTCACAATGCCTGTTACATTAGAATTTAGTACAGACATCTATCCAGGCATGTAGATACTCTAGATATTTCCATGGTATGAAAACAAGAGTTGTAGCTAGACTGAATGAAAGTTAAAGACAAGTAGATGATACGTTGTTACCTGATAGCATGTAGCGAGTCACCATGGGACACACGTGGGGTCAAAATGCAAGGCCAGAAACTGGAAAGACAACTTTGACACTGCCTTTAATGTTTGTATTCAGGTCTCTGGCATGAGTTTACTCACACAGATTATTAGCTCCTTTGTATGAAACAACTTTATTTGTAATCTAGGCCACACCAATTTAATTTCTTGGTTAACGGATTCGCCGCTTCATTTTTTTCTGATTTGCAAATAAAAATAAAAATCCAGAATCAACTGCAAAATGCTCATATTTTGCCCTGAGCAGTTGAAAACAGTCCTTTTCTTCCTAGTTGCTACAGTTATTCCATCTTTCAATGCAATGGTACCATTAAAAGTTCAAAATTCATTGTTTGAATTTTGAACCAGCCTGGTGTGTTGACTTAATGGCTCCTATTGTACCATTTTGGGCCATAATAGGATGCCTAGGCCTGTTTTTATTTTTATTTTTTTTTCGCCCGCCCGCTCCATTATTTTTCTAGAAAAATCCGTTAACCAAGAAATTAAATTGGTGTGGCCCTATGGCAAAAGATTAATTTGCACAATGACAGTGAAAGTCAGTCAACTTTCTTCTGTTTTGTAGAATAACACTTTCTTGAATGATTCTTTTATATGTTTATTCTCTATTTAAGAATTTTGAATAAGATGCCAGTACAGTCTTTGATCACTTGAAATCTGTAATCATTCAGAACATGAATTTACATAAAGATGATCATGATCATCATTGTGTTCTTGATACATAGCAGTCAGTTCAGATCAGTTTCATGCCATGTGCCAGTGACAGCAATGAGAAGAAAAACAGTTGATATGCAATTTCAGAGCCATTCAGTTGTGAAGTTTTGAAATGCTGATAGTATATCTGATACCATCATAAAAGCACTTTGGCAAATTGCACGTCGAGAGCACTACAAAATCAAGATGCAAGCTTTTATGTAATATAAACAGAAAAAATGATAGTGGTATCATATTAGATATTGCTGTCTCCAAACTTCAGGCATGGCTGTATCACACGATGTAGCTCACTATTGACTTCTTCGCAGTGCAACTGATATTCTTAACCCTTGTCCTGCTGGCATTCCTGGCACAATATTTTTCAATAATTTCATGTCTTAATTAGATCATAAGAAACCCAAATTTTTTTGCCCTGCAGTGGCATAGTTACTTCCGCATTCGTTGCGTTTTGCTGCGGTGTGATGCGTTGCACGAAAAATACCCCCAAATCGTACCTATACAGAGTGTTATATAGATGGTACTGTATGTGCCGCGCGACATATGTTGCGCACAGCAGGACAAGGGTTAAAACTGACAGCTGACAAGTGTGTTGGATTTCTCTGTGCTTCTACTACAATTACAATACAAATGCTAACTCTGATCACAGGTTTTGTCACAATGTCTCTAGAGTCAAAGAAACAGAATAGTCGTATGCCTAAAAGCCGCCTGGACAGATGACAGGTTATACCTTTCCAGCTAAGCCACGAACACACATGGACCGTTGTACCGTTAACGCGCTGGCCCTATGACCCTGCCACGTTGCTCCTTTTTTCTCTCCGAAGCCCGCCACACTTTGATACCAACAGAGTGAACTTTTTCCCCAAAAGCATTTCAACTCAGCAGCTCACTGGAATCTAGGCAGCCTGCCAGGATCCCAGCAACATACACACTTCAACATTATCGCCACACAAGCCACATTCCATTGTGAGTTTTTGCTTTACCAAAACAGTTCTGTTGTACGTTGAAATTTCTGCAGACATCCATACCATGCTTCCCTTGTGAACACGGCTCACCTGAGAGGCACATTTACGTTCAAACAATTACACTTCCAAAACAAACACATGAACGTGACCTAGGAGATAGAGTGGACTACTTGACTTGGTCGTCACTCGATCGGGACCTAATGTTAGGAGTGTGTTTCAATCGTTTTCACTTCTGAATGGATGGACTACAACACACACACTATGACGTGAGCACTACAGCTTACTGCCACGTCCGTTAAAAATGGCGGGCGCTGTCTCAGTGTAGCTGCCAGCCCTCTTTTCTGTTTGCTGAACTTCAGTTATACAATGACTTGTGGGGGAGAACTGAACACAACCTTGCCAGATCTGTTGGCCACACAGACGCATTTCGTAGTTCTTCTCAATATTGCTGCTCCCAAATTCCTTACATTGCTACGTATGAGGGAGGCAACAATGTAAATTTTACCCAGAGGCAACAGCAATGGCGGATGTATGTGGCGAACACACTCTAGTAGCCCCTATATACTTTGACCCTCACAGTAGCAGTTTTGGGAATTCTTTTGTACATTATCAAGTGGATTTAGTAAATCACACTAAGTCATGCCTTCTCCATGGCAGATAGAAGTAATCAACACTATACAGGAGTAGACCTTGTGATCCTGGGGCAAACATGGCGAATGATTCTGCACTAATCTTCTTGCACTTCACCGTGCGATTTCTGAGAATAAGTCGGGATGACTATCCAACAAATGTATGAATGAATCCAAGTGACACAAACAAGCCTGAAGGTAACATTTTGTGAATGAAGGTGTAAGAGTGTGTTTCCACCCATAAAATTGTTGGTGTAACTTATGTAACCAAGGTTCTTGAAAAATGGCTCTACCATGCAAGAGCAGACTATTGAGGCAAGATAATACGATGGTAACGAGAGACCTTAAAGTTTAGTGACCTGACACAAACATCCACCTGAGCAGCAAAAATTGTATTGTACATTCTTGGGAGACACAGAGTAGAGTAACTTACATTGTGTAAAATATGCTATTAGTGCAATTACATGTGGAGTGACAGGGAACAAGCACAAATGTAGTATGGACTGCTCGCCCCCAGGCTAACATGGCGGATACGACTCTTCAATGGTTTTCTCGGACCCTCCAAGTCCAAATTAAGCAAATACTACACTCGTGGCAGAGAGCAAGTCATGTATGTCAACAACGACAAATAAACTACCCGGAACTCACTCTCCTACAATATGGCAAACAGCAAACCCCCAGTTTGTTTCTTCTACATACATGTAGGTGGTTAGCCTTGTTTTTAAGCAACAGCCTGTCTATATAAGTCCTTAAAATACAGTTATTTTGGAATGAGTGGCTGAACTAGACTTTGGGA